TTCCCTCAAAATAAAAAACAACGATTTTCGATTCATTTTTTCAGAGTAAACAAAAAAAATTAAAAGCCGTATTTAGCAGTTTTGTTTAAATTTTATGTCCGCATTTATTTAAGTTTAGTTTTTTTGTTAGTGTTCATGCTGTGACCAGTCAAGTTTCGTGTTTTTTTGTTGTTTTTCGATTTATTTAAGCCACAATTGTTCTTTTTGACACACACATACACCTCTCATACGGGCATACTTACTTACCGTACAATCTAATTCGAGTCATACCTACCAACCGTTGAAGGTCTTTGAACTTGTTTTGCTTGGTGTACGTCGTCGTCTCGTCTTACCAAAACAACAGAGATGAGCGAGTTTTGCTTTAGATGTTTGTTTGGTTGTCCCTCTGTCTGTTTTGAATTAGCCATATCATAACATTGCATTGTGTACAGTGGGGTCAAAGTGCGTGACTTTATAATTGGCCAGAATGACCTACAGGGGAAAGGTCAAATTTTGGTCTATGAAACCGTCAGAGGAGTTTCTAAAGGTCTTCCATATGTTTCTTATAAATATAACCCGATACACCGCTTCGCAGGGACGTACGCAGGGGGGCGGCCCTGGGGGCCCGGGCCCCCCCCGAAATGAATTTTTTTCACAGTAAATTTATGTTTGCAACAGCGAATTTTTCCATTTTGTACTACCGGGCCCCCCCCCGAAATGAAATCCTGTGTACGTTGCTGCCGCTTCGCAATTTGTTCTATAGTCAGAAGATTCTATAGAAAATATGCTTGAAACCACAGTGGAAAATTTCAAAATGGGCTAAATGAAAAAATCGGAAGACCCGCTTGAGGCCATTATTTCGTGAAATAACGATTCTGATGGTCACAATTTTATTTCTTTAGAAAAAAATCTAGAGACCTTGGGCATTTTTTTTAAAAAGTCCTATAATTTATCATCTCTAAACACGAACCCCCACATGAACCAGCTACTTCTGTTGGAAAATGAGAGGACCTAAAGTGGGGCTTGAACTTTTTATGATCGGTACGCCCAAACTTTGTCATATACTTATATATGTATATATATAGGCGTGGATTTTTATAACCTACACAACTATGTTGTCAGGGTATTAAAGCTTTGTGCAGACCCAAGAGTTTGTAACGCCGCAGAATATTGGTCCTAGACCCACCTTCAAGTATACCGATCGTCATATCTCGACTAGCTGAGTCGATCTAGACATGTGTGTCCGTCCGTCTGTCCATTATAATTTGTAAACACGATACAGGCCACAGTTATGGACGAATCTTCACGAAACTTTGCATGTAGAATGGGTTCTGGCCAATGAAGACCCCCTTTGTTTTTGGTAAAGACCCTCATTGTTTTTCGGTTAATATTTAGGGGATGAAATGGACCAAATACTTATTTATTGTCCGTTTTTCTGGACGCCCCGAACAACGTGAAATTTTACATGGAGAACGGGATCGGGTTAAAGAATAAGCATGACTATTTTGATAAAGATTGGTCAATATTTAGCGGGTGAAATGGACCCCGACTTTTGTGTGAAAAATTATAAAATTTGCCCCTGATGAATATAGTACCGAGAAGTTGATAGTAGATCCAAGTGGAGTGGTTGACCTATAGGTCATAATTATAACCCGAACATCACAACCCAAATCTGTACTGAATATTAGTAATATTCGGAATTTATGTCAGTCTAAGGAAGAGGTGCAGTTGACCTCTAATCGGGAAAAAGAGTGCAAATATCACGAAATATTGCCCATCCTCAGAATAAACATCCGCAGAAAGTTAGAGTTCCGAAGTAGTTGTGTAGGGTATCGTATGGTCGCCCCATCCGACTATACAGCTCCGCTCACTGGTTTTAAAATGTTTTTTTTCAGGGCGTGGATTTTTTAAAAATAGGCGTGGATTTTTTAAAAATTATTTTTTTCAGGTCCAACCAAGAACTAGATTTTCTTTTTGTTTTCGATTCACATTATTAACTTGCTCTACTGTCAATGAACAACAACAATGATAAGATTTCTGCGAGAATGTAACAAAATAGAAAACATTTCTATGCCATACCTACAATGTTATCTAGATAATTTCCACTCAAGAATTAATTAGCAAAAATAAACAGTGGCATGACCCTGCCACCAAATTACGATGATGATACTTTAAACAGTGTGTCAGTGTTAAAATTTAATGATACCAACAAACAATTATAGCTTTTAGAAAAGAAAATACTGTTAAACTAGTTTAAATCGCTACAAAGAAAAAAAAATATATACGATAAAATTTAATGAATTTAATTGTTAATGAAAAATAATAATAATAACACTGACTTCAAAGTTATCGTGGTATGGATTTCTTAAAAATATTTTTCCATGGTCCCAACATAGGCGTGTATTTTACTGTTTAAGAATTAATGTAGGGAATTTAATAAACATTATGGATATGTGCTTATATCATAGAAATATTGTTTTTGTTTGTTTACACATCTTTGTTCGGTTTGCCTTTGTTGACAACCCATGAAGCAGTCAGTGAATGTCCTTAGTCTTATGACAGAAAAACCACGAGACTCAGCATTGAAGATAAATCCCAAGTGGGGCTATTATGTCTACAAATGCCGCCGACCGACAACTATAAACATAAATGTTGCAAATTTATCAACGGATACATTCGAAACAAAAACAATAACAAGAAAAAATAGTTGAGACCAATCCATAAAAAATAAAATTTCTTTCATGTCAATGATTCGTAAGATATGCAATTTCTTCACTTCAATATTGGCGACCAAATTGGTAGTAGTATAGTCACTATGACTCATTCTAGAAACCTCCCTCGAAAACTTAGGGAAATACCTATAATTAACACAATAGCTTGTAGATAGGTAAACGCAAATAGCTCTCATTTCTTTAACTAAGCTCCCATCGAATTTTAGCAATTATTTTCTAACCTTCTCCCCATTCCAGCGTAGCAGCTGAATTTCGTTGCCAAAGTTTTATCGATAAACAACAAAGCATTGTTAATGTTGTTTTTCGCCGCCGCACCACCAATCTTTGGAATATTTTAGATAACAGCACGACGACTCTCTGACCTTGACAGAAACTACTATTGATAATAATGTTTTTTGTTGTTTGGCATGCTTTTGATTTATTGTTTTTACTCCCGCCAGTATGTGGGTTCGTGTGATCTCTGCGAAAATTTTTAACAGAGGTTTCTCTATTGGGAAATTATGGTTTATATAAATAAACTATTGTTGGGCATGAACGACTTTTTGGATAGCTTTTCGATGTGAAACAAATTTTTTCATGACCCACCATAGGCGTGGATCTTTTATAAATAGATTTTCACACCTCTCCATAGGCGTGGAAAAAATATTTTCCGCAGTCCTACATTAGGCGTGCATCTTTAAAAATATATTTCTCCAAAGTCCCAACTAAGGCGTGGATAAGGCGATGGTTTTTATACCCTACACAACTATGTTGTCAGGGTATTATAGCTTTGTGTAGCCCCAAAAGTTTATAACGCCGCGAAATATTGGTCCTAGACCCCCCTTTAAGTATACCGATCGTCATATCTCCACTAGCTGAGTCGATCTAGACACGTGTGTCCGTCCGTCTGTCCATTATAATTTGTAAACACGATACAGGCCACAGTTATGGACCAATCTTCACGAAATTTTCATGTAGAATGGGTCTGGCCGCGAAATATTGGTCCTAGACCCACCTTTAAGTATACCGATCGTCATATCTCGACTAGCTGAGTCGATCTAGACATGTGCGTCCGTCCGTCTGTCTGTCCATTATAATTTGTAAACACGATACATTCCACAGTTATGGACTAATCTTCACGAAATTTTCATATAGAATGGGTTCTGGCCAATGAAGACCCCTATTGTTTCTGGTAAAGATCGGTTAATATTTAGGGGATGAAATGGACCAAATACTTAATTTTTGTCCGTTTTTCTGGTCGCTCCAGAGGCCGCACTTATTGACCAATCATCGCGAAACGGGAACGGGACTTGATAAAGATTGATCAATATTTAGCGGGTCCTTTTGTATTCTATGGCGTTTATATTTGCCCCTGAAGGACGTAGACCCGAGAAGTTGATAGTATATCCAAGGGGAGTGGTTGGCCTTTATATTGATACCAATTATATGGTCGTATGTACTCAGATGTGGGAGTTACACTTACATATTTAAGGAGTTTACGTACTGAGATATTATTTAGTAACCCATTCCACACTAGAGAGAGGAAATATAGCTCTGACCGCTTTGAAAATTTCCATGAGATTCCAGTTGTGGTCAAGGACAATGCCTATAATTTTCGGTGATGATCAGAGAATAATTTTGGAATGAAGTGGACCGAAAACTTTTTGTGTGTGTGTGTGTGTGTTTTTTTTTTGAGTCGATCTATAGGCCACAAGTCAAAGCCGAATATCACAGCACACCCCACGTGAAGGGAATCTGGACTTTAATCGGGCAAACGTGTGTAAATATCGCGAAATATTGTCCAGGCTCGGTATAAACATCCGCAGAAAGTTAGAGTTCCGTTGTAGTTGCGTAGGGCCCCGTGCGACTGGACTGCTCCGCTCACTGGTTTAAAAATGTTTTTCCAAAGTCCCACCTAAGGCGTGGATATTTTTCCGATCACAAGCATAACCTATAACCTCTTCACCAATGATACCAAAGTAGGGTACCCTGATTTAATGAAAACGAAACTATTGACAATCTAGAAATTTTTGAGAGAAGAGTACTACGAAAATGCGTAAATAAAACAAAGATAATAGCAAAGAAAACAACAACAACAAAATAACTATAAAAACGATAACAAAAAAGAAAACGTCGTAGAGAGCAAAATTGAAAAAAAAGAAAACGAAAATAAATAACAACAACAATAATATGCATCTCATCATACACCACGTGCTATTGCAACAACAAAACCAACAACGACACCCATAAAAAAACAAAATAGTTTAACAACAACATTTCACCACCCACTTTTGTTCGCCCCATTTGTGTATGGCATCTACGACGACTGGTGCAGCAATAATACGTGACACCGACTCTCCGACCACAGCCAACAACATTGAGAACGAAGTCCCAACTAAGCGAACCTCTTCTTCTGCCTCTCCCAGGCATACTCCGAACACTCATTGTCACCGTCGTCCCCGCCATCGCAATCGTATCTTGGCAAATTTACTCTGTTCCGAGTGTCTCACCAACAACAGCAGCAACACCTCTCTTCAGTCAACAACTGATTCACCCCCATATCAGTTATTGTTGCCGCCTAGCTCCCGCTACGTACGTAAACGTTATTTGTCCGCGATAACCGACAAAACTTTAGACTTTTGCGCCTCATATTCGACAACCGTGTGCGATTGCAGCAAGTGTCCGAAGGAGGATTTTAAATTTGTTAGCGTTCGATCATTTTCCGGATCCAATATTTCGTCCTCAACGCCATTAGATTATACCACCAGCAGCAGCAGTAGCACCAGTTCTACTGACGGCAGCAGCTCCAACGTAACCCATACCACCGAAGAGGTAGGCAATTATTTTACCCCACCTCGTGAATACACCAACAACTCTCGTGCCTTGGGCGTTTTAACCGAGAAACGTTCACCTCTATTTGGACCATTGGCTGGTGGTATATCGCTTAGGACCCAGGAACCTTTCTACTCGGAATATCTGCTGAATGCCAACGATTTGATATCACCGCGATCGCTGAAAGCCTACAAAGAGAATATCGATTATACGGCAACGGAAGCTTTGCCACCACCGAGTATGAATGGCGGCGGGAAAAGGTCGTCAATGAATGGTGGTTCAGCGATAACATCACCGGCAACAGCGGCGAATGGAGGAAATGTAATCGATATCAATCGTAATGGTGTACCGAAACATTGGGTAAGTTGTAATACTTTTTTGTATTTATACCCTTCACCACACTGTGGTACAGGGTATTATGTCTTTGTGCATATGTTTGTAACAGGCAAAAGGAAACGAGATAGACACATGGTTCCTTTTGAGAATATGCATAGAATCACTTTTTAAGTCGATTTATGCATGTCCGTCCGTCCGTCCGTCCGTCTGTCCGTCTGTCCGTCTGTCCGTCTGTCTGTCCATGTTAAATTGTAAACAAAGTACAGGTCGCATTTATGATCCGAATTGGATGAAATTTGGCATAGGTCACTTATTCGGCCTAAGGACGAACCCTATTGAAATTGGGAAAAATCGGTTCAGATTTAGATATAGCTCCCATATATATATTTAACCGATTTAATGTAAACGGTCCCTATATATCTTTCGATTTGCACGAAATTTGGTACAGCCTAATCATTTAGGTCTAGAATGATGTCTGCCAAGTTTCATGAAAATCGGTCCAGATTTAGATATAGCTCCCATATATAGTTTCGTCCGATTTCATGTAAATGGTGCACCAAAGTCGACATATATCTTTCGATTTGCACGAAATTTGGTACAGCCTAATCATTTCGGTCTAGAATGATGTCTGCCAAGTTTCGTGAAAATCGGTCCAGATTTAGATATAGCTCCCATATATAGTTTCGTCCGATTTCATGTAAATGGTGCCCCAAAGTACCTATATATCTTTCGATTTGCACGAAATTTGGCATAACGTACTGAATTGAGCCTAGAGTGATGTCTGCCAAGTTTTGAGAAAATCGGTTCAGATTTAGATATAGCTCCCATATATAGTTTCGTCCGATTTTATGTAAATGGTGCCCCAAAGTACCTATATATCTTTCGATTTGCACGAAATTTGGCATAACGTACTGAATTGATCCTAGAGTGATGTCTGCTGAGTTTTGAGATTTCATGTAAATGGTGCCCCAAAGTCCCTATATATCTTTCGATTTGCACGAAATTTGGCATAACGTACTGAATTGAGCCTAGTGTGATGTCTGCCAAGTTTCGAGAAAATCGGTCTATATAGCTCCCATATATATTTCATGTTAATAGTCCTGTTTAATATACCCATAGTGGTGAAGGGTATCATATAGTCGGCCCCGTCCGACTTTACTACTTTCCTTACTGGTTTTTTTTTAAATATGTTTTTGTTTTTATGAATTAAAAAATACGTGAGTTGTTAATCAACATAAGTTCTAAATTGTTTGTTAAGCTTAACACGCTAACAGCTGTTCTAATTGATAATTTTATTTTGAATACAGTGTGTCGAAATAGTCGTTACTTAAGGGTTTGAAAATAATTTTTTTTCAAGTCTTATTATCTAGGCTTATTATTTTTGTGAACATTTCAAGTACCCAACATTGGCGTTGACTTTTGAAAAATATTTCAACCATTTTTCCATATCCCACCATAGGCGTGGATTTTTTAAAAAATATGTTTTCATGGTCCCACCATAGGCAAGGATTTAAAAAATAATGGTCCCACCTAGGCGTGGATTTTTTAAAACATATGTATTCATGGTCCCACCACAGACGAGGATTTTTTTTTATAAAATAGTTGTTCACATAATTTTTCAAAAAAGTTTTTATATCCCTTAATATATTTTTTTTTTCATTTTGAGACACTGTGCATTGGAATAAAAAAATACAGTATAGCTCTCATTTTAATTGCTGTTAATTTGAAATTAAAAAAAAAAAAACAAAAACATCTCATCTGAAAATTAATTTATTTTGAGAACTTACATACATATATACACAGCAAACCTTGAGCTTGGTGCCTAATAGTCGTTTATACCCAATACGGGAAACTGTTTAATTTTCAATTAGAGAAATTTTGCTCTCTTTTTACCTTATTTGTCGTATTAAAAAGCCGAATTGAATATTTGCCGCGTGCATGCATACATACATACCTAAAAACACAAATCCAAGTTTATAATTTAAAATAAGTAGTTTATATTCGAGCGTCGTACATGAAGGCACATTAGAGAGGGTCCACCGGTGGGGAAAATGAAAATAAAAAATTAAATTAGAGGCTTATCCAAGGCGTAGATTTTTATACCATTCACCACACTGTGGTACAGGGTATTATGTCTTTGTGCATATGTTTGTAACAGGCAAAAGGAAACGAGATAGACACATGGTTCCTTTCAAGAATATGCATAGAATCACTTTCTAAGTCGATTTGTCCGTCCGTCCATCTGTATGTCTGTCCATGTTAAATTGTCGCATTTATGATCCGAATTAGATGGAAATTGGCATAGCTCACTTATTTGGCCCAAGGACGAACCCTATTGAAATTGGGAAAAATCGGTTCAGATTTAGATATAGCTCCCATATATATTTTTGACCGATTTAAGGTAAATGATGTACCAAAGTTCCTATATATCTTTCGATTTGCACGAAATTTGGCATAGCGTACTGAATAGAGTCTAGAATGATGTGGGTAAAATCGATTCAGATTTAGATATAGCTCCCATATATATTTTCGTCCGATTTAATGTAAATGGTGCACCAAAGTTCCTATATATCTTTCGATTTGAACGAAATTTAGCACAGCGTAATGATGTGTGTAAAGTTTCCTGAAAATCGGTTCAGATTTAGATATAGCTCCAATATATTTTTTCGTCCGATTTAATGTAAATGTTGCACCAAAGTCCCTATATATCTTTCGATTTGAACGAAATTTAGCACAGCGTAATGAATTAGGTCTAGAATTATGCGTGCAAAGTTTCGTAAAAATCGGTTCAGATTTAGATATAGCTCCCATATATATTTTCGTCCGATTTAATGTAAATGTTGCACCAAAGTACCTATATATCTTTCGATTTGAACGAAATTTAGCACAGCTTAATGAATTAGGTCTAGAATGATGTGTGTAAAGTTTCGTGAAAATCGGTTCAGATTTAGATATAGCTCCCATATATATTCCCAAATATATTCCCATATAAAGTCCCTATATATCCTTCGATTTGCACGAAATTTAGCACAGCGTAATGAATTAGGTCTAGAATGATGTCCGTTAAGTTTCGTGAAAATCGGTTCAGATTTAGATATAGCTCTCATATATATTCTCGTCCGATTTAAGGTAAATGATGTACCATTTACCTTGTCCTATATATCTTTTGATTTGCACGAAATTTGACACCGCTTACGTAAATAAGTCTAGAATGATGTGTGTGAAGTTTCCTGAAAATCGGTTCAGATATAGATATAGTACCCATCCCACCAAACTCCTCATGCTTATAAGATATTTATCCGAATAATCAACGGGTGTCCGATTGATATTTGCTTTAAAAAGATTTACATAATTTTGTTTCATTATATGAAGCAACTCTATATGGCCAAATGAAAAATTTAGTTTAGGTTGCAGAATGGCATGTTTATGGATCCAATATGAATCCGTCTGATAGAATTAATCTGTTGAATATACCCAAAGTGGTAAAGGGTATCATATAGTCTGCCCTGTCCGACTTTACTACTTTCCTTTCTGATTTAAAGAATATTTTTTCAAGGCTTATCCAAAACGTGGATTTTTTAAAGAATATTTTTTGTTGCACTTGTTTAACCCCGTCTAATATACCCCTATATGACAAGGTTTTGCCCTGACAACACTACGAGTTGGGAATAAATAATTTGTTGTTATTGTTATTACTTTGATGTGCTAAATTTTTTTTCGAAATTTATTTACTTCAACTTACATATTGTAATGTAAATTTACGAAACATTTTTTTTAATTTTAATTAATCTCAAAAATGGGTTAAAGTCAAAGAAAGTTTGGTTTTAGTCACATTATTTCGCATTTGCTTCTTTTAATAAATTATACATTTTTTTCTTCTAAAGTATTATCCTTCTTACAAATCCTTTTCAGGACACTTTTTCTTCTTCTTCCCCTCCATGTTTCTTTTGTTTTGTGCTACCACCTGAAGTCGGATTCTTTGTTGCCTGCTTGGCAAACATAACAGATTTAGGTTAAAGTAAATCGAAAAGATTTATAACCCAAATGGTAGCACAGGTATGAAGAGCTTTTATGTCTTGTGTGTCAGTCATGGACGTAGCTCTTGGAGGGGTTTAATTTATTTAATTTTATAAATCAAAAATAACGATGTCATGTATCACATGAACAATAAAAGATTACCTTCATTAAATTACATGTTCCCCTCCATGAAAAAGTCTACATCTACGCCCATGGTTTTTATTACATACTATTTACATATTACTTTGTACAGTGATGTGTGTGTTCGTTCTTTACCAAAAGGATTAATGGTTTACCATGAAAGCATGCAACTCTCACTTTCATTTGCATCCATATTTAGGTCGATTCGGTAATGTGTGTATATTTTTTTATTTATCGTAAAAAAATCAGAACATATTTTGCTGAAGTCAACAGGCGGTCGGGAGCAAGAGAAGAAATAATTTAAAATGTTTTTTTTATTATTTAAAAATTAATGGCTCTTCTGGTCCAAAAAGGATCAATTATATCTATAAAGACCGGTGGTCTCTATACAGACCAATTGGTCTTTATAAAGACCTTTGGACTCTGTACAGACCTTTGATCTCTATATAGACCAATTGGTCTTTATAAAGACCTGTGGTCTCTATACAGACCAATTGGTCTTTATAAAGACCTGTGGTTTCTTTACAGAAAAATTGGTCTTTATAAAGACCTGTGGTGTCTATACAGAAAAATTGGTCTTTATAAAGACCTGTGGTCTCTATACAGACCAATTGGTCTTTATAAAGACCTGTGGTCTCTATACAGACCAATTGGTCTTTATAAAGACCTGTGGTCTCTATACAGACCAATTGGTCTTTATAAAGACCTGTGGTCTCTATACAGACCAATTGGTCTTTATAAAGACCTGTGGTCTCTATACAGACCAATTGGTCTTTATAAAGACCTGTGGTCTCTATACAGACCAATTGGTCTTTATAAAGACCTGTGGTCTCTATACAGACCAATTGGTCTTTATAAAGACCTGT